CCACTTAACCCGGAAGCCAGCTGCACCAATGTGTCGGAGGAAACACTGTTCAACTGACGACCGAAGTCAGCTTGCAGGCGCCCGGCCTACCACAAGGAGTCGCTAGAACGCAATGAGCCAAGTAAAGCCCCCCCGGCCAAACCCTCCCCTAACCAGGACGACGGGTTGCGCGCCGCTCTATGGGACTCCCGGTGACGGCCAGGTTAAGACACAGCCTGGGAGCAAACCCGGGTCTGTAGTGACACCTCAAGCACTGCGATTCAGTGCTTTAGACCGCTGCGCCACACGGGAGGCTAGGTACTTCTATGCATGCTCAGGCATGCGCTCCCTCAACATTACAGTGCCTTGCAAAAGTCTTCATCCCCCTTGGCGTTTTTCCTATTTTGTTGCATTACAACCTGTAATTTAAATGGTAATGTTATTTGGCTTTCATGTAATGGACATACACAAAATAGTCCAAATTGGTAAAATTACAAAAATTACAAAAAATGCAAAAACATAAATCACGGAAAAGTGGTGTGTGCATATGTATTCACCCCCTTTGCTATAAAGCCCCAAATAAGATCTGGTGCAACAAATTACCTTCAGAAGTCACATAATTAGCTAAATAAAGTCCACTGTGTGCAATCTAAGTGTCACATGATCTGTCACATGATCTCAGTATATATACACCTGTTCTGAAAGGCCCCAGAGTCTGCAACACCACTAAGCAAAGGGCACCACCAAGCAAGTGGCACCATGAAGACCAAGGAGCTCTCCAAACAGGTCAGGGACAAAGTTGTGGAGAAGTACAGATCAGGGTTGGGTTATAAAAAAAAATCAGAAACTTTGAACATCCCACGGAGCACCACAACAAACCTGCCAAGAGAGGGCCGTCCACCAAAACTCACGGACCAGGCAAGGAGGGCATTAATCAGAGAGGCAACAAAGAGACCAAAGATAACCCTGAAGGAGCTGCAAAGCTCCACAGCGGAGATTGGAGTATCTGTCCATAGGCCCACTTTAAGCTGTACACTCCACAGAGCTGGGTTTTATGGAAGAGTGGCCAGAAAAAAAAGTCATTCCTTAAAGAAAGAAATAAGCAAACACGTTTGGTGTTTGCCAAAAGCCATGTGGGAGACTCCCCAAACATATGGAAGAAGGTTCTCTGGTCAGATGAGACTAAAATTGAGCTTTTTGGCAATCAAGGAAAACGCTATGTCTGGCGCAAACCCAACACCTCTCATCACCCCGAGAACACCATCCCCACAGTGAAGCATGGTGGTGAAAGCATCATGCTGTGGGGATGTTTTTCATCGGCAGGGACTGGGAAACTGGTCAGAATTGAAGGAATGACGGATGGCGCTAAAGACAGGGAAATTCTTGAGGGAAACCTGTTTCAGTCTTCCAGAGTTTTGAGACTGGGACGGAGGTTCAACTTCCAGCAGGACAATGACCCTAAGCATACTGCTAAAGCAACACTCGAGTGGTTTAAGGGGAAACATTGAAATGTCTTGGAATGGCCTAGTCAAAGCCCAGACCTCTATTCAATTGAGAATCTGTGGTATGTCTTAAAGATTGCTGTACACCAGCGGAACCCATCCAACTTGAAGGAGCTGGAGCAGTTTTGCCTTGAAGAATGGGCAAAAATCCCAGTGGCTAGATGTGCAAGCTTATAGAGACATACCCCAAGAGACTTGCAGCTGTAATTGCTGCAAAAGGTGGCTCTACAAAGTATTGACTTTGGGGGGGTGAATAGTTACGCACGCTCAAGTTTTCAGTTTTTTTGTCTTATTTCTTGTTTGTATCACAATAAAAAATATTTTGCATCTTCAAAGTGGTAGGCATGTTGTGTAAATCAAATGTTACAAACCCCCCAAAAATCTATTTTAATTCCAGGTTGTAAGGCAACAAAATAGGAAACATACCAAGGAGGGTGAATACTTTTGCAAGCCACTGTATCAGGACAGATAAACCAGACACATGCTCATTGCTCACATGGAGCACTCCAAACAAAAGACAATGAAACATTTTACAAATCTCGTCAATGATGGTTATGAAATAAACCAAAACTTGTTTCTCACAAGTGTACAACTTTCTACTCAGAGAATGACAACGGTAAATGACTGTAATTAATACATGCATTAACATAAATAAATCTAACCAAATTACGGGGATTAACGTACATTTACTACTGGTTACATATGTAATGGGTTGATAAAAATCTAAAATCAAAGGGCAAACAATTCACACAATGAAACAATGAGCCATTCTGGAGAGAGACTCGCCTATACAGTATCTTCGCCACACACCCCTCCCTTTCTTCTTGTAGCAACATTTTAAATTATACAAGACACATTATCTTAGATGATTTTCACTGACAGCTGCAACTCAATAATCAGCTAGGCCTATTGGCACGCGCTGCCCAAATTGTGGAAATCCAGCCTAGAGCTGCCCAGTGACGCGAGCCTACCAGACAAGCTAAATCCCTTCTATGCTCGCTTCAAGGCAAGCAACACTGAACCATGCATGAGAGCACCAGCTGTTCCAGACGACTGTATGATCACGCTGTCCGTAGCTGATGTACAGTGAGGGAAAAAAGTAGTTGATCACCTGCTGATTTTGTACGTTTGCCCACTGACAAAGAAATCATCAGTCTATAATTTTAATGGTAGGTTTATTTGAACAGTGAGAGACAGAATAACAACAAAATAATCCAGAAAAATGCATGTCAAAAATGTTATAAATTGATTTGCATTTTAATGAGGGAAATAAGTATTTGACCCCCTCTCAATCAGAAAGATTTCTGGCTCCCAGGTGTCTTTTATACAGGTAACGAGCTGAGATTAGGAACACACTCTTAAAGGGAGTGCTCCTAATCTCAGCTTGTTACCTGTATAAAAGACACCTGTCCACAGAAGCAATCAATCAATCAGATTCCAAACTCTCCACCATGGCCAAGACCAAATAGCTCTCCAAGGATGTCAGGGACAAGATTGTAGACCTACACAAGGCTGGAATGGGCTACAAGACCATCGCCAAGCAGAATGTTGAGAAGGTGACAACAGTTGGTGCGATTATTCGCAAATGGAAGAAACACAAAATAACTGTCAATCTGGCTCTAACCAGAATAGAAAGAGGAGTGGGAGGCCCCGGTGCACAACTGAGCAAGAGGACAAATACATTAGTGTGTCTAATTTGAGAAACAGGCGCCTCACAGGTCCTCAACTGGCAGCTTCATTAAATAGTTCCCGCAAACCACCAGTCTCAACGTCAACAGTGAAAAGGCGACTCCGGGATGCTGACCTTCTAGGCAGTTACAAAGAAAAAGCCATATCTCAGACTGGCCAATAAAAATAAAAGATTAAGATGGGCTAAAGACCACAGACACTGGACAGAGGAAGATTGGAAAAAAGTGTTATGGACAGACGAATCAAAGTTTGAGGTGTTCGGATCACAAAGAAGAACATTTGTGAGACGCAGACCATCTGTCAAGCATGGTGGAGGCAATGTGATGGTCTGGGGGTGCTTTGGTGGTGGTAAAGAGGGAGAATTGTACAGGGTAAAAGAGATCTTGAAGAAGGAAGGCTATCACTCCATTTTGCAACGCCATGCCATACCCTGTGGATGGCGCTTGATTGGAGCCAATTTCCTCCTACAACAGGACAATGACCCAAAGCACAGCTCCAAACTATGCAATAACTATTTAGGGAAGAAGCAGTCAGCTGGTATTCTGTCTATAATGGAGTGGCCAGCACAGTCACCGGATCTCAACCCTATTGAGTTGTTGTGGGAGCAGCTTGACTGTATCGTACGTGAGAAGTGCCCATCAAGCCAAATCCAATTTGTGGGAGGTGCTTCAGGAAGCATGGGGTGAAATCTCTTCGGATTACCTCAACAAATTGACAACTAGAATGCCAAAGGTCTGCAAGGCTGTAATTGCTGCAAATGGGGGATTCTTTGACGAAAGCAAAGTTTGAAGGACACAATTATTATTTCAATTAAAAATCATTATTTCTAACCTTGTCAATGACTACATTCCCTATTCATTTAGCTATATTTCCTATTCAAACTAATTTCATGTATGTTTTCATGGAAGACAAGGACATTTCTAAGTGACCCCAAACTTTTGAACGGTACCGTACTTTTGCTCATGTAGTGTAAGTGAGAATAATCAAAATGGGATTATGATTGACAGGTTAGTGGTTAAATGGGTGGATTACAGCAGAGATGGTTACACAGTACAATACATTTATCACATATACATTTCACCCACTTGATTCTGACACTCGCATCGGAAAACTGCTGACAGTGTTCATTGCATGCTTCTCTAGCTTTGAAAAAAAGAAACTGATATTCTCGAACACGCCACAAACTAATTTTATGGATCTTTGATTTATGTAGTTTTTTTCTCCATTCACCTGAACCTTCGCTAGGAAGGTGTGCCAACTACTCCTTTTCTAATCCTCCTTCTCTAGCTCACAAGTCAGAGAGCTTTCTTGTCCCTCACCCTGCACTTGATCAATTGTGTTTTTAATGTAATCCTAATGGGATTAATCATGTACTGTCACTCTCTGCTCTGCTCGGCCGAGAGCAGGGCTGGCTCCAAGCATAGGTGACATCAGCGGTCTCACCCCCCCCCCACTCTCACTCAGAAATCATCAGATATCTTTAACATGGCATAAATCATGGTAAAATGTGTAGAATTGCAGGACATTAGCTTTAAAACTGAATAAATGCATCTCCCCCCATGGCAAAATGGGTAGAATTGCAGGAAATTCACTTTAAAACTTAAATTTGTCACTCCACCGTCAAAATGCTCCTGAATCCATGGGACAGTAGCTGCAAAAACACCTTGTTATTTTTATAATCCGTGCTGTGGGGAGGGACAAATGTACCGCTGTACACCACGGTACACACTTGCTTAATGAAGGTGATGCGGAGGGAGGGGGGAGAGAGGAGAGAGGGGGGAGAGAGGAAGGAGATAAACAAGCGAGGGAGGGGGGTGTCGAGTCTTACCCGTAGGCCACGCCGGCGACGGTGCACTTCTTGAACTGCATCACGTTGCAGGTCAGAGTCCCCGTCTTGTCGGAGAATATGTATTTCACCTGTCAAAGAAAGTGACAAGAAAGTGACAAGAGAAAGACAGCCAATCATTGCTCAATGTGGATCAGAGACACACCAGGAGCGTTGAGCCATGTGGTGCTCCGTTTAATTAGTAATGGCTCAGACTGCACAAATGTTTCACTTCAGAAAGTATTCACACCCCTTGACTTTTTCCACATTTTGTTGTGTTACAAGGTGGGATTAAAATTGATTTAATTGTCATTACTTGTCAGCGATCTGCACAAAATACTCTGTCATGTCAAAGTGGAAGAGAAATTCTAACATTTGTAACAAATTAATGAAAATAAAACACTAATATATCTTGATTACATAAGTATTCAACCCCCTGAGTCAATATTTTTTAGAATGACCTTTGCAGCGATTACAGCTTTGAGTCTTTCTAGGTAAGTCTCTAAGAGCTTTGCATTTATTGATTTATTCTTCAAGCTCTGTCAAGTTGGTTGTTGATCATTGCTAGACAGCCATTTTCAAGTCCTGCCATTGATTTTCAAGCAGATTTAATTCAAAACTGTAACTAGGCCACTCAGGAACATTCAATGTTGTCTTGGTAAGCAACTCCAGTGTGTATTTGGCCTTGCGTTTTAGGTTATTGTCCTGCCGAAAGGTGAATTTGTCTCCCAGTGTCTTTTGGAAAGCAGACTGAACCAGGTTTTCCTCTAGGATTTTGCCTGTGCTTAGCTCTATTCTGTTTATTTTTATCCCCCCAAAATTCCCTTGCCGATGACAAGCATACCCATAATATGATGCAGCGACCACCATGCTTGAAAATATGAAGAGTGTGTGATGAGGGTGATGAACGGAGTCAGGCGCAGGAGTGTAATCACCGAATACAGAGCTTATTCCTTCGTTGACACACAAATGCGCTCAAATAGCGAACAATGAAACAGGAACAGGGGAAACTATCATCCCTGGCAAATACACTGTAACAGTAGAATCCACTAATAAATAGGCACAGGGGAAAATCTACCCTGGCAACAAAATGTACGAGTAGCTCCACCGAGCTATACTACTCTCACGACTAACAATCACCCACAAGGACAAGGGGGCAGAGGGAACACTTATACACGGACTAATGAGGGGATTAGAACCAGGTGTGTGTGATAAACAAGACAAGTCAAATGTGATGATGATTGGGGCAGCAGTGGTTAGTAGGCCGGTGACGACGAACGCCGAAGCCTGCCCGAACAAGGAGGGGAGGCAGCCTCGGCCGAAGTCGTGACAGAGTGGTACTCAGTGATGTGTTAATGTTGGATTTTCCCAAAACATAATGCTTTGTATGTAGGACATAAAGTTAATTTATTTGTCACATTGTTTGCAGTTTTACTAGTGCCTCATTGCAAACAGGATGCATGTTTTGGAATATATTTATTATGTACAGGCTTCCTTCTTTTCACTCTGCCATTTAGTTTAATATTGTGGAGTAACTACAATGTTGTTGATCCATCCTCAGTTTTCTTCTATCAAAGCCATTAAACTCATCATTGGACTCATGGTGAAATCCCTGAGCGGTTTCCTTCCTCTCCGGCAATTGAGTTAGGAATTTGTAATTGGGTGTATTAATCCAAAGCGTAATTAATAACTTCAACATGTTCTTTTTTTTATCCATCTACCAATAGGTGCCCTTCTTTGTGAGGCATTGGAAAACCTCCCTGGTCTTTGTGGTTGAATATGTTTAAAATTCACTGCTCGACTGAGGGACCTTACAGCTCATTGTATGTGTGGGGTACAGAGACGAGGTAGTCATTAAAAAATCATGTTTAACACCATTATTGCACACAAAGTGAGTCCATGCAACTTATTATGTGATTAGTTAATAAAATATTTACACCTGAACCTATTTAGGCTTGCCATAACAAAGGCGTTGAATACTTATTGAATCAAGACATTTCAGCTTTTCATTTTTAAGTAATGTTTTCACATTTCGAAAAACATAATTCCACTGACATTAGGCCAGTGGCACAAAATCTCAATTTAATCCATTTTAAATTCAGGCTGTAACACAACAACATCTGGGAAAGTCAAGAGGTGTGAATACTTTCTGAAGGCACTATAAATGTCTCCAATTCACAGGTAACTAGAATTCATTTTTTGTCAACATTGGAAACAAATGTGTATTTGGTACAACTACTATAGTATGTGCAGGTGAAGGTGGATGTAAAGGAATTCATGAATTCAATGTCATTCATAACATTTTGAACAAGCTGCTTTACCTGTCCTAGTTCTTCATTCAGGTTGGAAGTGCGAGCCACAGCTGGGGTGTTAGTGGGCTCATACAGCATGTCTGTATCCTGAAATAATCAGATAGAATCTTATGAGAAACAACACCAACTTCAAACATTTTGACTTTGAAATCAAGTGACTAGACAGCAACAGATACAGTGGGGTCCGAAATTATTAACACCCTTGTAAAAGATGAGCAATAATGACTGTATAAAATAAATATTTCAAATACTGAGCTATATTGTATGGTCAACGAAATTGGGAAATTATATTATTTTATACTAATACAATTGCTCAGAGACAGAGATTTCTGTTTAACAAGTAATACTTTTTTTCCCCCCCAAACAATGTTGGGGTCCAAATTATTGACACACCTAAAGATTATTATAAATAAATCAGTCAAAAGTTTAGTATTTGGTCCCATATTCCTAGCACGCAATGACTACATCAAGCTTGTGACTCTACAAACTTGTTGGATGCATTTGCAGTTCATTTTGGTTGTGTTTCAGATTACTTTGTGCCCAATAGAAATTAATGGAAAATAATGTATTGTGTCATTTTGGAGTCACTTTTATTATAAATAAGAATATAAAATGTTTCTAAACACTTCTACATTAATATGAATGCTACCATGATTACGAATAATCCTGAATGAATCGTGAATAATGATGAGTGAAGTGAGAAAGTTACAGACGGTCAAAGATCATACCCCCAAGACCTGCTAATCTCTCACCATTTCCAATAACAGGGAGGTTAGCATGACTTGAGGGTATGATCTTTGACCCTCTGTAACTTTTGTCACTCAGGATTATCCGTATTGGTCTTCACAAAGTTTGCTGCTTCAGTGTTTTTAGATATTTTTGTCAGATGTATACTGAAGTATAATTACAACCATTCCATAAGTGTCAAAGGTTTTATTGACAAGTACATTAAGTTTATGCAAAGAGTCAATATTTGCAGTGTTGACCCTTCTTTTTCAAGACCTCTGCAATCCATCCTGGCATGCTGTCAATTAACTTCTGGGCCACATGGCAGCCCATTCTTGCATAATCAATGCTTGGAGTTTGTCAGAATTTGTGGGTTTTTGTTTGTCCACCCGCCTCTTGAGGATTGACCACAAATTCTCAATGGGATTAAGGTCTGGGGAGTTTCCTGGCCATGGACCCAAAATGTTGATGTTTTGTTCCCCGAGCCACTTAGTTATCACTTTTGTCTTATGGCAAGGTGCTCCATCATGCTGGAAAAGGCATTGTTCGTCACCAAACTGTTCTTAGATGGTTGGGAGAAGTTGTTCTCGGAGGATGTGTTGGTACCATTCTTTATTCATGGCTGTGTTCTTAGGCAAAATTGTGAGTGAGCCCACTCCTTGGCTGAGAAGCAACCCCACACATGAATGGTCTCAGGATGCTTTACTGTTGGCATGACACAGGACTGATGGTAGCGCTCACCTTGTCTTCTCCGGACAAGCTTTTTTCCGGATGCCCCAAACAAACGGAAAGGGGATTCATCAGAGAAAATGACTTTACCCCAGTCCTCAGCAGTCCAATTCCTGCACCTTTTGCAGAATATCAGTCTGTCCCTGATGTTTTTCCTGGAGAGAAGTGGCTTCCTCGCTGCCCTTCTTGACACCAGGCCATCCTCCAAAAGTCTTCGCCTCACTGTGCGTGCAGATGCACTCACACCTGCCTGCTGCCATTCCTGAGCAAGCTCTGCACTGGTGGTGCCCCGATCCCGCAGCTGAATCAACTTTAGAAGATGGTCCTGGCGCTTGCTGGACTTTCTTCGGCGCCCTGAAGCCAAAAGTGATCTCCAGCCTTGTCCTCGTCAACACTCTCACATGTGTGAGAGTGTTGACGAGGACAAGACTTAGTGAAAATTAATATTTGTGTCATTCTCAAAACTTTTGACCACGACTGTATTACCTATGTAGACACATATTCTATTCTTATTTACAATAAAAGTGACTCCCAAATGACACAATACATTATTCACCATTCATTTCTATTGGGCTCAAAATAATCTGAAACAACCCAAATAAACTGCAAATGCATCCAACAAGTTTGTAGAGTCACAAGCTTGATGTAGTCATTGCGTGCTAGGAATATTGGAAAAAATACTAAACGTTTGACTACTTTATTTATAAGAATCTTTAGAGGTGTCAATAATTTCAACCCTTACCTTTGAGAGAAAAAAGTATTACTTGTTTAAAAAAATCTCTTTCTCTGAGCAAAATATTAGTTTAAAAGAATACAATTTCCCTTTTATTTTTATTTTGCATACAATATAGCTCAGTATTTTAATTACTTATTTTATACAGTCATTATTGCTCATCTTTGTCAAGGGTGTCTAAGTTCGATAACCTAAAGGTTGGTTATCTTAGTAAAATTGAACCTTTTATTCTTGAGTTGCAGACAGTCTGGGTTTTCTACCAGCCGTAGGCGGCAGCATATTTAAGACCAGAACCCAATTGTGATTATCCCGTTCTCCAGAAGTGTAACTCAATCACTCCCCCCTCAAGGATTTCAAAGCATTAAATTGGTGTAGGATAGAAGAACTCCGTCTTCACCAACCCAATGCTGGAGGGGGACTAATCAAGTGTACACTTCGGGGATAAGGCGGAGAATTGGAATTGGGGTCAGAGCTATATAATGAGAGACATTAATAGGGTTGGGGTCAATTCCATTTCAATTCAGTGAATTCAGGAAATAAACTGAATTCATTGAATTGAAATGGAATTGACCCTAACCCCTGTCAGTGATAACCACAGGGTCCCAAATCCAAATCCCCTGTGTCTTCTCTCACCCAGTTGATGAAGAAGGCCTGGGTGAACTTGATGACCTCAAGGGTCACCAGCAGACTGATGGGGATCAGGTTGTTGAAGAGAATGATGAAGGTGAGGAAGTTGAGGCCAAAGTTTGCCGCACCGCCATCTGTCAGGGGGACGACAAGTTTGGCGGGGATAGAGGAGCGATAGACAAGACTTTTGTCAGCTTTGAATCCCATCGAAAACCATTGGGAAAAATAAATAGTTCCCAAAGCAAAGAACCATCTAATGCTCAACGTATTCACAACCCAGTGTATGTGTTGTACCATGTTGTATCAATGCTGTTCATTAGGTGAGATTTAATACCCATCTCTTCCACCCCACCTTATCCTCTCACCTCTGAAATTGATATTCACTACAATTAAGGTCCCATAATTCTCGCTACAGAACTGGGACTAGAGTGGAGTCATTAGGGTCATATAGCAGCAGCCTTGGCATCCAGGCAATGAATTCCACAAAGCACTGTGCACAATGATGGACTCTTTCACCCGATCCATGATGAAATAATCAAAAACACCAAAAAGGAGACATACAGTACAACTCCACTGACACCCTAGTAGCTGACACAAAAACATGAGTGATGTGATTTACCTTTCCTCAGCTTGCAGAAGTGGCAAGAGTTACCTTCCTCAACCCAAGCGTTTCCCCTTAAGTTTAGCAGTTGAGAGGGGGAGACTTTTTCCCCACAACAGAATGATTTTAAGATAAAATAATATAAAAGGGGGTGGCAAAATGGAAGCTACTGCTATTGGAAGGACAGCACAGAGAGAGATGAGGGAGAGCTTGCCTGAGGTGGGGAGGAAGACAAACGTGTTGGATATCGCAAAAACACAAAGAGACGAATTCAGTCCAAAGCACATTCCTATTCCAACCAACGAGTGTAAAAGAGTGGGTGAATTTTGATATCAACATTGAGTAGTGTGATTGTCCTGTAAGTAACTATTTACTCTGTATTTTGTGAGGTCTCCTTGTTTCACATGAACTGGTATATTCTCAGAGGGGTAAATAAGGTTGGGATCAGATCAAGTTGCAGCCATGAGCAAGTAAATCACAACAAACCAAGACACGCACCATCCACCATTCAACCATATCTCCTTATTACAGTTGAAGTCAGAAGTTTACATACACCTTAGCCAAATGCATTTAAACTCAGTTTTTCACAATTCCTGACATTTAATCCTAGTATAAATTAGGTCAGTTAGGATCACCACTTTATTTTAAGAATGTGAAATGTCAGAATAATAGTAGAGAGAATTATTTCTTTCAGCTTTTATTTCTTTCATCACATTCCCAGTGGGTCAGAAGTTTACATACACTCAATTTGTATTTGTTAGCATTGGCTTTACATTGTTTAACTTGGGTCAAACGTTTTGGGTAGCCTTCCAAAAGCTTCCCACAATAAGTTGGCTGAATTTTGGCCCATTCCTCCTGACAGAGCTGGTGTAACTGAGTCAGGTTTGTAGGCCTCCTTGCTCGCACACGCTTTTTCAGTTCTGCCCACAAATGTTCTATAGGATTGAGGTCAGGGCTTTGTGATGGCTACTCCAATACCTTGAATTTGTTGTCCTTAAACCATTTTGCCACAACTTTGGAAGTATGCTTGGAGTCATTGTCCATTTGGAAGACCCATTTGCGACCAAGCTTTAACTTCCTGACTGATGTCTTGAGATGTTGCTTCAATATATCCACATAATTTTCCTTCCTCATGATGCCATCTATTTTGTGAAGTGCACTAGTCCCTCCTGTAGCAAAGCACCCACACAGCATGATGCTGCCACCCCCGTGCTTCACGGTTGGGATGGTGGTCTTCGGCTTGCAAGCACTCCCCTTTTTCCTCCAAACATAACGATGGTCATTATGGCCAAACAGTTCTATTTTTGTTTAATCAGACCAGAGGACATTTCTCCAAAAAGCACGATCTTTGTCCCCATGTGCAGTTGCAAACCGTAGTCTGGCTTTTTTATGGCGGTTTTGGAGCAGTGGCTTATTCCTTGCTGAGCGGCCTTTCAGGTTATGTCGATATAGGACTTGTTTTACTGTGGATATAGATACTTTTGTACCTGTTTCCTCCAGCATCTTCACAAGGTCCTTTGCTGTTGTTCTGGGATTGATTTGCACTTTTCACACCAAAGTACGTTCATCTCTAGGAGACAGAACACGTCTCATTCCTGAGCGGTATGACGGCAGCGTAGTCCCATGGTGTTTATACTTGCGTACTATTGTTTGTACAGATGAACATGGTACCTTCAGGCGTTTGGAAATTGCTCCCAAGGATGAACCAGACTACCATTTTTTTTCTGAGGTCTTGGCTGATTTCTTTTAATTTTCCCATGATGTCAAGCAAAGAGGCACTGAGTTTGAAGGTAGGCCTTGAAATACATCCACAGGTACACCTCCAATTGACTCAAATGAAGCTTCTAAAGCCATGCCATCATTTTCTGGAATTTTCCAAGCTGTTTAAGGGCACAGTCAACTTAGTGTATGTAAACTTCTGACCCACTGGAATTGTGATACAGTGAATTATAAGTGAAATAATCTGTCTGTAAACAATTGTTGGAAAAATTACTTGTGTCATGCACAAAGTAGATGTCCTAACCGACAAGACATTTGTGGAATGGTTGAAAAACGAGTTTTAATGACTCCAACCTAAGTGTATGTAAACTTCCGACTTCAACTGTATGTCTGAATATATCTGTGAAATATCTGAGTAAAATAACAGTAATATGTGATTTTGCATCAGTATTTGCTTCCATTTCAGAGCATGCGTATCCAAAAGTAAATCCAGCCTATCTCCTCTAGTATAACTTTCTACCATAGTAGCGCAAAAAGCAGCCACAACCATCGGCTAACTTTAAGGGGTCAGCTTTTTAAAGTAGTGGAACAGTCAGCAGAAAACGACACAATCTGGGGGGAAAAGACACCAGCTACCTGCTTTTTAGTGGACAGGGATTTAACCGACAGTGATATGTAGCAGGTGCGTGAATGCATAACAAATTATCGCAAGTCATTTTCAACACTACATAAAGGTTGTAAAAGGGGCAACCTGCAGTTCGAACAATAACAAAGCGGACACCCCGCCACTGATTTGGTAAACAGCTGAGGGATGGGGCTGGAGAAATGTAACCACTCTCAAACTCATGGAAATAACTATGGATATAAGAACTGACCATCCATAATATCAACATGATAGTTTTAACCATGTTTTGAGGCTATACAGTGTTTGTTTACATTTACTTTGTTTACAAACATTGGAGTAAAACAACCTTATATTTTGGGTTCTGATGGGGTATGACAGTTGAACTAGGTTGATAAGGGCATATATACGTTATATTCTTGAAGAATCAATGAGTATATATAATTAATTTAAAAGTATATAAATGGATGTAGCAAGTGCAGATTGACCCTTTAAGATCTATAGACTAGGAACCATGCCCAGTTAAGACGGATGTCTGCAGTGTTAGCTGCGTCAAAGACTAATTCATGATTTACCGTGCATGCATAATCATAAACGGGCCCTCTCTGACATATGGGCATGTCCAGTGTGTTGTTTATGTGTGGTGATCCAGCTTCTCTCCCCATTGACCAGCATGCTCTGTCAATCCATTAAACTTGTGGTCTCCACCTAACTAGAGATTGTGTTGACATGTCTCAATGTGCAATTACAGTCAAGTAATTTGGGCACGCAGTATGTAAATGCAACAGTGAAATTGAATATGATATGATGAATTGGCCACCTCTCTTTTGACACAGGTCGGAACAATCTGCAGTGGACTGAGTCCCGCCACCACTTAAAAGAATACAATCGGTCAAAAGATGGACGCCTGCTTTATGACTCACATCACCCTCATTTGTACACCACTCTCTGCTCGGCCCACATGATGGGGTCTTTGTAGTCCTCTGTAGCTCAGCTGGTAGAGCACGGCGCTTGTAACGCCAAGGTAGTGGGTTCGATCCCCGGGACCACCCATACACAAAAAAAAATGTATGCACGCATGACTGTAAGTCGCTTTGGATAAAAGCGTCTGCTAAATGGCATATTATATTATTATTATTATTTTAGGTGTGAGTTTCAAAGCTACAAACGAGTGCAGTGAAACCCCTGGAAATCGAGCCAATCCAAGACAATGTGACAATGTTCTAAGACTGAGGGGAGAGTGTATGTCATAAAACAAGCTTGAAAAGGACACAACCTCTCCTAACACAGGCCTAGTTGAATATAGAGTAATGGCTGTAGTGACACGTTAATCATTCTGCAAACAAGGCTCACAGACTCATTGCAAAAGAAGGCCATCTTTGGCAATGGGGGAAAAATACTAAAGCACTTTTCAAGTAGCCACAGAGGTGACCTAACCTTCATTCTTCTTCTACTGAGGCTGTAAGGTTCCTACCTGTCGCTTCTATTCTGTCAATAGTAGTTAGTCTAACACCAGATCTTTTTAATTGAGAAACATGTCTCAGAGTGGATGTGACAATCCATCTTCGTGCTGAATAGGTTTTGCATCTCTCCTTCTCCCTCTCTCACTTTCTCTCTCCTTCTCTGCTGGAAGAATAAACACAACAAAATGAGGCAGTAGAAGGAGGCATTTAGAAAATGTCAGCGGTAGCCCTCTGAGCTACACTGCAGTATCTATGTTCAGCGACAAACATGTAGAAGCCTCCTGCCTTACAAAAAGCTTCCTGAGTGCCATCTCATCTCTGGCTCTCACAGGATAAAGAGCAGAAAATAAGTGTAGCGACTCATGGTCCATTTGTGGTGAAAAGGGAATTTTTTTTAGATCTGAGGCCTGGATTTGCAAAGAGTTTAAGGTGTCACAAGAAATGAGGAGAAAGGGAGAAACACTGTGTGGATCAGGCACTAAAAGGAACTAAAGAGTTGAGTGTACAGTGGGGAAAAAAAGTATTTAGTCAGCCACCAATTGTGCAAGTACTCCCACTTAAAAAGATGAGAGAGGCCTGTAATTTTCATCATAGTTACACGTCAACTATGACAGACAAAATGAGAAAAAAAATCCAGAAAATCACATTGTAGGATTTTTAATGAATTTATTTGCAAATTATGGTGGAAAATAAATATTTGGTCAATAACAAAAGTTTCTCAATACTTTGTTATATACCCTTTGTTGGCAATGACACAGGTCAAACGTTTTCTGTAAGTCTTCACAAGGTTTTCACACACTGTTGCTGGTATTTTGCCCCATTCCTCCATGCAGATCTCCTCTAGAGTAGTGATGTTTTGGGGCTGTCGCTGGGCAACACGGACTTTCAACTCCCTCATAAGATTTTCTATGGGGTTGAGATCTGGAGACTGGCTAGGCCACTCCAGGACCTTGAAATGCTTCTTACGAAGCCACTCCTCGTGTGTTTGGGATCATTGTCATGCTGAAAGACCCAGCCACGTTTCATCTTCAATGCCCTTGCTGATGGAAGGAGGTTTTCACTTAAAATCTCACGATACATGGCCCCATTCATTATTTTCTTTACACGGATCAGTCGTCCTGGTCCCTTTGCAGAAAAACAGCCCCAAAGCATGATGTTTCCACCCCCATGCTTCACAGTAGGTATGGTGTTCTTTGGATGCAACTCAGCATTATTTGTCCTCCAAACACGACGAGTTGAGTTTTTACCAAAAAGTTCTATTTTGGTTTCATCTGACCATATGACATTCTCCCAATCCTCTTCTGGATCATCCAAATGCACTCTAGCAAACTTCAGACGGGCCTGGACATGTACTGGCTTAAGCAGGGGGACACGTCTGGCACTGCAGGATTTGAGTCCCTGGCGGCGTAGTGTGTTACTGATGGTAGGCTTTGTTACTTTGGTCCCAGCTCTCTGCAGGTCATTCACTAGGTCCCCCCGTGTGGTTCTGGGATTTTTGCTCACTGTTCTTGTGATCATTTTGACCCCACAGGGTGAGATCTTGTGTGGAGCCCCAGATCGAGGGAGATTATCAGTGGTCTTGTATGTCTTCCATTTCCTAATAATTGCTCCCACAGTTGATTTATTCAAACCAAGCTGCTTACCTATTGCAGATTCAGTCTTCCCAGCCTGGTGCAGGTCTACAATTTTGTTTCTGGTGTCCTTTGACAGCTCTTTGGTCTTGGCCATAGTGGAGTTTGGAGTGTGACTGTTTGAGGTTGTGGACAGGTGTCTTTTATACTGATAACAAGTTCAAACAGGTGCCAATAATACAGGTAGCGAGTGCAGGACAGAGGAGCCTCTTAAAGAAGAAGTTACAGGTCTGTGAGAGCCAGAAATCTTGCTTGTTTGTAGGTGACCAAATACTTATTTTCCACCATAATTTGCAAATAAATTCATTAAAAATCCTACAATGTGATTTTCTGGATTTTTTGTTTTCTCAATGTGTCTGTCATAGTTGACGTGTACCTATGATGAAAATTACAGGCCTCTCTCATCTTTTTAAGTGGGAGAACTTGCACAATTGGTGGCTGACTAAATACTTTTTTTCCCCACTGTATGAGCTGGATGGGAAAACCTATCGTCGGATCCCTGGTCTGTGCTGTCCATGGCAAGGGGCCTTTACAAAGTAGGACAACCATATAGAGGGGGCTTCATTTGCTTAGCAAAGGCAGAGCTTCAGTTAGGGGGTTAGTATGGAAGGGTCATTCACGGATGGCCAAGGCTTTTAAATGGTTGTTACCTGGAGCTGTTAAAAAACGACAACAAAGAAAAACAAAGAACCAAACAGAACATTAGAACTTAACCAAAACGTACAGCAGCGCAGTGATTGATATTCAACCATTTCTTTCATTCACATCACATGTCTATGCATGTCACAATCAGTTTTACATTTACATGGGAATCCCATTATTCCCCATTGCCACATATTTCACTTGTGTTGCAAATACATACTTTGCCAGAGGCAACGTAAAAAAAAACAAAGACACACCAACATTAACAAAAGCTAACTAAAAAACAACAGAGAACTAAGCAGACATGGCAGACAAGTGAGACACAATATGTGGACTATGTGGAATATATCTTGCATTGGTGCTCTTACAGTTCAAGTCCATGTACCAAGCTGCATTGCCGTACTGGTACTTCCAGATGGTTTGTCCGATGGAGCACACCAGAGAGATGGCCAGTAGACAGCCGAACAGCAGTAGAATCTGGAAGTTTGTGATGCGCTCCACGTTGGACAGCTTCAGAGGTGGCCGTGTGGAATTCTGGACAAAAGACACGGACATAAGTAATACAAGTTCAATATTACATTCCGTGCAGGACTATATGGACACAAAAACAAAAGCAGGGTAACAAATCCAATTGGTCTTAACTTCACGTGATAGGACCTTGGTTCGTTGGTTTTCTAACTCAACCGGCAATATGAACCAAGGAACCATAGTCCTACCTCAATATGCAAAGATGGGGTTAACAAAGAGGGTTTTGTACTTGCAATGACTGTGATGTGGTTTTCTGACCTACCTTATTTGAATGCACTGACTAAGTGGCTCTGGATAAGAGTGTCTGCTAAATGACTGAAATGTCAAATGTAAACCAGCAGAGGACTTCACCTGCATGAGCTTGGTGTCGTGTCCGGTGTAGACCACGATGCCATGGACCCACTGGGTGTTTCTCAACTGGGCACCTCGTAGCAGAATCTGGTCAGGACCCAGAGGCACGGTGCTGGAGTCACAAACAGAAGTCTCCATGAGGCTCCAGCATGGCATAGTGTGGAGGAGCTTTAGAAACTATGGAACTCAAATACAACTATAGTGACACTACCACTGAGTAGGGAGGAAGTCCTCACTTCTTCCAGTTTCAGTTTTCAGGGACTTTGTTCTACCTCAGGATTGAGATGCAAGTGTGACATAATGTGACCAATGTACTGCATACATGTGACATAAAAGTCAAGCTGTGCAGATGACTGACATAATGTTCTTTACTACTAAGGATTGGCAAAGCCCCTAAATAAACACAATCTTCTCTTTACTCCATAGAAACGTAAAATGATCCACAAACCCACTGGCCAAACTCCTAATGGCCATATGAGATGGAAAAGCTGCTGGCTGGTTGAAAAAAGGCAGAGTGCCAGAAGTGGAGCGGTGTGTTGTGTCCCACCTGTGTCCATCCAGACGGATGTTCCCCACAAACTCATACAGATGGCGGTTGGGGCTCTCGCACTCCATGCGCCCGGAGAGACGCATCAGGCTGTCAATGTCCTTGATCTCTGAGGTGATTTGCAGTCCCTATGTGCATGCACACACATACAAACATGTTACATAGATTCCAGGTCCCAATTCTATTTAAATTAAGTCAATAAAGGAGATAGCCTACATTGAAATTGCATTTAACTTTTGGAATGTACTGAGCTGAAATTGGTTCATGTGATTTCTGAAATGTCAGAAGAAATATCAGAACATCCCAATTGGGAATCTGCTGGAAGGCTGAACAAAAGTCATCCCTGTATGAGTTTCTCAGTTCAATTGTTCCAAGTTTCCTATTTCCGAGGAGACCATGAAAGCAGTTAACAATAGTACTACAGTAGAGAGAGTATAGGAAAATGTAGGATACAGAAATAATCACCTGTCGGATTTTGAGGTTTGTTTCTCCATCCAAGTTTGACGTCTCAATGTAGCACATACCTTGGGGCTCACTGGTTTAAAGGGGAAGTAAAAAGCATCAAAGTGAACATTGGACCTGGACAACTTTTAAGACAAAAGTTAATTCTGTATAATAATCAAACAGGCTCATTCATCCATTTACTGATGGTTTTGGATGGAGGGTAGGGAGCACTCTTTCAAATCAAGGCGCAAACAAGGATGCTGCAAAGTTTTCTGATACCAAGTTGATTTGAACTTTTAACTACAAAAATGTATCGTTTTATGAACGCAACAATGTAGCAACAAATTGTCATAAAAAATACAAAATCATCAAATCAACCTGAAAGCCGCAAGTCCTGAAAGATCGACACAGGCAAGGTTAACATATTTGTTTGCAGCTGCCCTTGAATTCAGTTTTCTTTCAAAGACTGGGAGAGAGGGAGCAGGCATGCCGAGCGAGCACTACAACCACAGCAGAACAAATGGCGCTCTGATAGACACTGGGCACGGGGACAGAGAGTTATAGAGCGTGCTGGAGCTTTAAGGTGAGTCGGGTCGCTGGTTAACCGCTCTTTTAACAGGGTGATTGATGCACGACAGGGGCCCATCCAAAAACAGGAAGGAGAAAAACAAAAATGGTTTTGGCCCACTCAAGCCCTAACCTCAATCAATTAGGTTTTAGTACCAGCTGCTTTGAGCCACTGAGTGCCAATAAGGGCTTTGGATTCCTGTCGACAGACAATTGCTCTGCAGTGATGTGTTCTAAAACTAGTCAAGAGTCATTCAAAATATCTACTTGATTATAGTAGATACATTGTTATAAGCATCCTAACGTATGTTATTATGACAAGATTATTCATAAAAATGATGTTGGAATGTCACAGCATGCAACATGCCACGTCAAACAACAAAGTTTACAGTAGTTTCAAGGTGGAATTATAGAGCCATGCACAGTTAGGAACATGGAAACCCATTCACAGTTCACACCCTATACTTATGATCTTATCTCAAACTAGCATGCTAGTAGCACGCAAGTTAGCATTGGCTGGCGAAACTACCTCTAACTTCCTTCATACTGGACACAGAGACATAAAAATGGTATCCACGAGTTCATCTGACTGGGGAAGTAGATAAAGGGCCTCATAACGAAGTATCCCTTTAAGTCTCAACTCTCTATATTCTCAAGCCATAAAAACATTTATTGTTAACATGGTCAATATAACTGAGGCATCTGACTGTGCCTAGATGGGAACGTGTTCGCTGACCTATTCACCTCAATTCTGGGCAGCTTTGCCAAGATAACCAGATTTCCCTTCCTGCCTTAGAATGTCAAATCCAATATTTATTATTTAAATTGGCAGTGCAAGACAAAAAGTCCTGACCTGTAGCTAGCCCCTCTCCCCCTCCTGCCATCCCAGCTCTCCCGCCAGACCCCCATGCAGCTCAGCAATACGGTTCCTGACCTGGACGACAGAATGACGAGGTCAGCCGGCAGGTGATCCCCATTGGCCGCTTTAACTAGCTCCCCGACGCCCACCTGATATTACCCAGCACGCACCAGGAGGGGACGAGAGAGAGCAGGGGCGGCCAGGGGAAGGATGTCAGGGAGAGAAGAGGGGAAGGTGGATGAGGAGGGTGAGAGGTAGAGTACAAACAGACACCAAACCAAGGGAGGGAAAAGAGACAATTGTTTATTTTACAGAAAAATAAGGACACAGCGTAAGCCCTGCATGTTCGGAGGGTCTGGTTTAATCTGGTTTTAAAAAGCCATTTGGACAAGGTTGTTAATAACTATATCAAGTAATTTATGGACACCATATACTGTTCTATACAAATACAATAACCCAATTTACTCAACATAAATCATAGGGTGTGAGTCATATAAGAATTTAATGAGATTTTAGATGAGATCTGGATAATGTGCAAATAAATTGCTGCTGTGCCAACAGACAAAACAGTGGGCTATATGGATTCAGTACAGTATGTAGGCATGTTGCATTGTTTCAGCTTATTTCAACGTTTGGGTAGTAGGTCACAAAATACATATCAAACAGATACAGCAAATCGATGCAGGGCCCAAAGTAAGACCTGGTCCAAATAGATTTTGAAAATGTAGCAGGCACTTAACCTGCTTTAATAGTGGGCCTATATTTTTATCGAGGCACTTAAAATGTCTGCGTTATTTGGAATCAAACATCACTTCCTTGGGAGAGCTGAGAGAGAGAGAGAGAGAGAGGGAGGGAGAGAGAGAACAGAGGAGGAGATGTCCTCAGGGTCTGTCAGGAAAAGGTAGGTGAACCCATAGACTTCTACCTGGATGACAGTAGGATATACTCCGCAGGTACGTAATCTGAGCAACCTACTCAAATTATATCTCCCACCACTGCCTGCAAGAAACAAACTGGTTACTGTGGAAGTCATGGAAATAATAGTGAAATTCGGAATGGAAATATATGAAAATGGAAATATAATGGAAGTGTATGTGAAGAAATTAAAATGTTCACATCTAAAATGAGATGTAAACAATCGTGTTGAAATAATGTAAATGATAAACGTTGGAAGAAATAAGATCATCAGCGAAAAAGGCAATTTAGGGGCACTTGTTCTTAGGGTTCTTCTATCCAGGGTTGGTCAACAAGGCAGAATACCTGGGTCGTGTTCATTAGCGCCAAACGAAAGACAGCGGCATGAAACAGGAAGGGACTGCCTAGACTTGTTTTGTTACGGTGTGCCCTAAAGAACCTGACTCTGAATACAGTGCATTCGGAAAGTATTCAGACCCCTTGACTTTTTCCATATTCTGTTACGTTACAGCCTTGTTCTAAAATTGATTAAATTGTGTTTTCTCTCTCATCAATCTACACAAAATACCCCCTAACGACAAAGTAAAAACAGGTTTTTGTTTTTTTGCAAATTTATTTAAAAAAAATAAACTGAAATATCAAATTTACTCAATACTTTATTGAAGCAACTTTGGCAGCGATTAAAACCTCAAGTGTTCTTGAGTATGACGCTACAAGCTTGGCACACCTGTATTTGGGGAGTTTCTCCCATTCTTCTCTGCAGATCCTCTCAAGCTCTGTCAGGTTGGATGGGGAGTGTCGCCGCACAGCTATTTTCAGGTCTCTCCAGAGATGTTCGAACGGGTTCAAGTCCGGGCTCTGGCTGGGCACCTCAAGGACATTCAGAGACTGGTCCCGAAGCCACTCCTGCGTTGTCTTGGCTGTGTGCTTAGGGTCATGGTCCTGTTGGAAGGTGAACCTTCGCCCCAGTCTGAGGTCCTGAGCTCACTGAAGCAGGTTTTTATCAAAGACCTCTCTGTACTTGGCTCCGTTCATCTTTCCCTCGATCCTGACTAGTCTCCCAGTAACTGCCGCTGAAAATAATCCCACAGCATGATGCTGCCACCACCATGCTTCACCTTCGGGATGGTGCCAGTTTTCCTCCAGACGTGATGCTTGGCATTCAGGCCAAAGAGTTCAATCTTGGTTTCATCAGACTAGAGAATCTTGTTTCTCATGGTCTGAGAGTCTTTAGATGCCTTTTGGCAAACTCCAAGCGGGCTGTCAAGTGCCTTTTACTGAGGAGTGGCTTCCGTCTGGCCACTCTACCATAAAGGCCTGATTGGTGGAGTGCTGCAGAGGTGGTTGTCCTTCTGGAAAGTTCTCCCATCTCTACAGAGGAACGATGGAGCTCTGTCATACTGACCATTGGGTTCTTGGTCACCTCCCTGACCAAGGCCCTTCTCCCCCGATTACTCAGTTTGGCTGGGCGGCCAGCTCTAGGAAGAGTTTTGGTGGTTCCAAACTTCTTCCATTTAATGATGGAGGCCACTGTGTTTTTGGGGACCTTCGATGCTGCAGACATTTTTGGGTACCCTTCCCCAGATCTGTGCCTCAACATATAATCCTGTCTCGGACCTCTACGGACAATAATGTATTTGTGTTTCTGTTTTTAATACCTTTGCTAACATTTCTAAAAACCTGTTTTCGCTTTGTCATTATGGGATATTGTGTGTAGATTGATGAGGAACTGTTTTTATTTAATCAATTTTAGAATAATGCTCTAACGTAACAAAATGTCGAAAACGTCCAGGGGTCTGAATACTTTCCGAATGCACTGTATCTTATGTCCCATGACAACTTCAAATGAATTACATATTTTCTTTCCTGTAGGGAACCATAAAAGCTGAGACGTGATTTTGCATTTCATACCCCAGCAAACTCCTCGTTGCTGCACAGAATGTCAGAATGAGATTTTCCGATAAGCATTAATATAATATCTAGATCAGCATTTACCTTGTTCTGTATCATCTGGGGTTTATCATTAAGTGTTAAGCTACATCAGTGCAATCCTTATTCTCAAGAATCTAGTTTCATATAATTTTGAAACACTTGGGGGAAAGTGCTTAGACAGAGAGCAAAGCACAAATCAAGGAGAAAGCTTTTACAATATGCATGGTCGGAGATGTAAAAACATTATTCAAGGCTCTCAATTTCAGGGAGACATTTCTCAAAGTAATGGTACATAAATATGCAACAATCTCTCCCAGCTTGAAATGACAATATATTTACCCGCCGTGTTAAAATATTGACAATGCCCAGCCACTAAAACCCTGCATGCTCCGAGTGGAACCAGAGATAGGCAACGGTAAATATTTTCTTAATGTCTTCTCCTGCCTCACACAGATCACACCTCCCCCTCCCCCTGATCCCCCCTTCCAGCAGAGCTAAAGCAAGGAGAAACAGGTTGCATGGCTACATGCACATGTCCCTTCTATCTAACGGCCAGGCTATTAATGGCGTTCCTCCTTCTCCACTTCTTTTTGCACCTGAATGTTGCGGGCGCATCGTTTCTGACATGGTAATTAAGTGGGGTGCTTTATGAATGCTGGATTAAAAACTGCTCTCTCTCTCTCTCTCTCTCTGTTATGTCCTCGGGTGCAGCCTTGCTTCTCTTCTTAATTAGTAGCCAGGCCAGGCTGATGAAGGCCAGGGGCCGGATGGCGAACGGGAGGTGTGTGTGTCTGTGTGTGTAGAAGTGTGTGTGTATACTTAATATGGAGAGATTGCATAGGAAGAGACTGGTGTGAATGTATCCTTATCAACATCTGTACTTTGCTCCAGTTCTTGTGCGACGTAAACTGACTAAAAAGCCGCTGTCAGTGGCTGTCTATGAATATCTCTCCTAGAATAATATCACACCCCTGCATGATGGCGTTGGTTAAAAAAGAAGTCCCGTATTTTACAAGTTGATGTTAGATGGTTCCGGCACCCTTAAAGGTTATTTGGCCAGTACTTTATTTATTAGCACGGTCACCCCTATCACTCCAATTGATTTTCAGCTAGCTGTGGATAATGTTAGCTGAAGTTTGTAGTGGCCATTTAAAGAAAACCGTACTATGGATTACGCTACAGTTTCTCCTGGCCCATGGACTACATTCAGATTGTGGAACCATCTAACACTAAGTTGTAAAATACTGATCTTCCCATTTAAGTTAAGAGGAGGTAGCCTGGTAACGTACCTTCTCCTTTCAGTTAAGAGGAGGTAGTCTGGTAACATACCTTCTCCTTTAAATTAAGATGAGGTAGTCTGGTAATGTACCTTTGCCCAGTGCACGATCTCCCAGGCACCGTTCCTCAGCACTTTAAAGAGCAGAGACAAATAAAAAGAGAAATGTTGTGACACTCAGGATAAATAAACATTGTCACCATACTTTGTTTAGCCTATTTGGAAGGCACACAGTTACACAATGCACACAGAGCCATACATTATGTCATGTGTCATACGACAACAAATAAATACATTCATCTTTTGAAGGCTACGCCTTTATACGTAAATGTATTGTGTATACACTATATATATACGGAAGTATGTGGACACCCCTTCAAAATATTGGATTCAGCTATTTCAGCCACACACGTTGCTGACAGGTGTATAAAATAGGACACACCGCCATGCAATCTCCATACATAAACATTGGCAGTAGAATGGCCTTACTGAAGAGCTCAGTGACTTTCAACGTGGCACCGTCATAGGATGCCACATTTCCAACAAGTCAGTTGGTCACATTTTTACCCTGCTAGAGCTGCCCCGGTCAACTGTAAGTGCTGTTATTGTGAAGTGGAAACATCTAGGAGCAACAACGGCTCAGCCGCGAAGTGTTAGGCCACACAAGTTCACAGAACGGGACCGAGTGTTGAAGCATCACTCACTACCGAGTTCCAAACTGCCTCTGGAAGCAACGTCAGTACAATAACTGTTCATCGGGAGCTTCATGAAATGGGTTTCAATGGCTGAGCAGCCGCACACAAGCCTAAGATCACCATGCGCAATGCCAAGCGTCGGCTGGAGTGGTGTAAAGCTCGCCGCCATTGGACTCTGGAGCAGTGGAAACGCGTACTCTGGAGTGATGAATCATGATTCACCATCTGGCAGTCCGACAGACGAACTTGGGTTTGGCGGATGCCAGGAGAACGCTACCTGAATGCTACCTGCCCCAATGCATAGTGCCAACTGTAAAGTTTGGTGGAGGAG